AGAGAAACAGACGAAATCACAATGAACGAAATAAAAATGAAACAAAACTAAAAAAGGCATATGGCGATCCTACAACAAAGTGATTTAAACTTCACATTTACTTATTTCACATATAAAGCTTTCGTCTTGAGACTCTCTGTTTAATGGTATTATCAATTATTCAAAAGTATTCACCGCGATCAGATCAGTTTTGAGGCACAAAATTTACACAGTTCCTCATGCCTAAACCGAGTACACCAGGTCGTAATAATTAAATTCCGCTCAAACAAATTTTCAAATTTGTCGATGACCTTTCGTTTTTCACAATAGCTAAAACATTCTTTGATAAAAACTTCACACTGACCACATCTGATGAGGCCTGTGATTTCAATAATGTGTTTTCATACCAAGGTTATCGGATATCTTCTGGAATGAGCAGCAGCTGTTTTTAAGGGAGTTGTTTAGGTTTAAGATTATTACTTTTTCGCGAAGCCGATTTATACAATTTTTCAACATCCTCTCGAAATTGATGAATATTTAAATTTTTGAGGGTATGTTTTGATCCACACGTTGCTTGTCGCCACTTTTTAGAATGAATTCATAAATAAAACGAGAACATACAGATTTTTAGTTGCTGAAGTGGAATGAAGAATGAGAGAAATACCACTGTCTATGACAAATATTTCTGCTTTAATGTTTTTTCTGATATGTCACTCGAGATCAATGAAACTGAATCTAAGGATAACTTGATCATGCCTGCGCGGAGGGCGGTGAGAATGTCAATGGAAACGTCTCGAGCCTTAATTTCCTTGATTATCAAGTCTTCAAATGAACATGTTGATATCATAGAGGAGTTGCCACAGCCAAACTCTATTTTTGTTTTTCTTACGGTACAATCGTGGATCAAAGCAAGAGGTATATTCAAAATAAACTGACCTAGGTGCCAGCATGAGCTTTAGTCTTTATCTAAGTTGCAAAGACGGCAATAAGTGTCGTTATTAAGACACTCCCGGCATGAGTATACCACTATCCCTAGCTGAGTCCATTTCCGATTTTATGCTGAATATCGATCTCGTGGACTCCTGATGGATTAGTGAGCCATAATATATTGCCAAGCACATAATTAAAGAGGGACAGGAAAAAAGCTAGGGGAAATTGCCACTTTTTAAACAGCTTGTGTCCAGTTTAGAAATTGATTTAAGAAAAGCATTTATTGTCACTCCTCTTCTTTAAGAGGAACGCAGGAAAAAGGTGATTTTCAAGTCACGTTAAATTTCCAAATAAACAACCACATATTTGCTCCTGTATCTACCGTCACTTGATTAAACATTTTTTTTTTCCGATGGAAGGAAAATTGAGACAAGATATTTAAAGGATAATTGCAATAAATGACGCAAAGATTTCTGCAACAGTTCTGCCTTAACCTTCTGAAAGATTACTTTCATATCCAGACTGCTTCAGCTTATACTCGAAAAGGCTGATTTCTTTAGAGCAGCGAGCGCTCATCCCAATAAAAAAAAGACATATATATAATTATTTATCCGTTTTTTTTTGGTCTATGTTTTTTGGTATAATTGGTGTTTTCTTTATGGCAATTGAAAAATGTAAAATCAATATACGATATTTGTCGCACCGTGACGTTTCATTCCAATTCATGGCAATGAGGAAAAAGTCAGTTTTACTTCTTATATAATCATGCAAAACTAAAAAGTCCGGGCCCAAATGTTGTAGGATTCAGTAAACTTAGCAATAAAGCACTTACTAGAGCTTACCTTCTCTCTGTAAAATTTAACAAAGCAGTTTTACAGAAAAAGTAAGGACAATTTCCTAGACAAATGTGGCAAATTGGTCGCCGTCGTCCGATACTGATAGAAGCTTCAAACTGCCGAAAAGAATGATTATAAAAACCACTTTCCGAACTCACATATTTGTTTTGCCTATTATATCAAGGAGCGGTTTTGATATTTTGACGCCCCTCTCTAAATGGCTACTTCTTCAAATCTGTCAATTGCGCATGCGCAATACACACCAGGTCTTTGTGCCATAACAACTTTGGTGTGCTTGTATAATTATTCTATCACTTTTCATTGTCGTCCGGTTTTGTTGCTTTACTAAAATGTGCAATAAGAATGCATAAGAATCGTTTGTTATTACTTCAACCTAAACCACATAAATCATTTCCCCAAAATGTAATTCCGATCTATATATTTTAATCGTTTTAAAAGAAATATTCATTGATCTTTAAGCGCGGCGGGTCGATTTTTGTCTGGTGCGTCGGCCCTTTTATTCTTTTTTAAGGTTTTTGGAGGCAAGAAGAAAAACATCCTTTATGAATGCTTTGATTGAAACCGGTGGCTTATCGTTGCGTGCCCTGCGTGAAATGTAGGCCGTAATTATTCAATTAGGAATGTCATTTTTTTAAGAATTTTAAAAAGATTCTTAAATCTTGACGGGGTTGCTCAAAGGCGATTTCTCCTCTTCGTCTATCACGGTCAGCAAGGAAAACGCAAAGCCAACTCTGGTATTTGCTTTTTGAGGTCTTTAGAGCAGCAAAAGCGAGAGAACTAACAGTTGAGTTACCACACGAAGTGGTACATATTTAAGTGATCATGAGTCGATCAAAACAGTTTTATCTGGAAAATATTGTGTCTTCATTTCAATTTACCTTTAAATGAAAACTTCCGTTTAAAGGCACGCAATTTTAATAAGTTTATTCTCTCGTCTTTTTTCCGGATTCATTATTCAAAAAGAACTTCAGATCTAACTGTGAGTATACATGACAGATTATACAACACAAAAGTAGGATTTTTGAATGTTTAGACTCAGTAAGATTACCGGAACGTTTACGTACTAATTCCAACCAGTAGACAAGGGAACTAGCGGATAATAGAAACGAATGCATCCGAGAGAAAGCCGATCATCCAAGAAAGGGGTAGTTGTCCATATCGCTTGCAGTTTACTCTGCTTTTTGTAATCATGACTGTCTGCTAATTGAAATGCACAGAGGCTGAGTGGTAGCCAAGTGGTCAGCGCGTCGGGTTAAAAGTGGCTCCTCGGCCTTACAGTGAAAATAGACATCTGCCTTTAGCGTTTGGTAGTTCACTTGAACTTAATCTAAATGCTACGTGCACCACCACCATATATAAGTAAAGCACTAAATAAATTTATAGAGCGTTGAAAAGAGTTCAATTATAAAGTGAGAAGGTTTATAGGAAGCCGGATCCCCCCCCCCCCCCCCCAAAAAAAAAAAACAAGAAGAAATTGTGGTACTAGTACTAGTGGTCTATGATCGGTGCAGACCCCGGGGGGAGGGGGGGGAGTTACTCCCTTGTATGGCCTACACAGATGTGCCGCTGGGCAGGGTATGGTGTTTTACCTCCCCCCCTGTCCTCCCCTGGGTGCTGACATGCTGGAAATGACTACCGATGCACAGGAGGGAAACAATAAAACTTTACAAGGCCTAATATACACAATGCAATCACATAGTGTCGTCAAGCGATTTGAAATAACCATGATATTTTACTGAATCACTTTTATTTATGGTTTAAAATCTCCTCCACTGCAAGTAATCAACGACAGCCTTGGAAACTGTTTTACCTGCAAGGGATAAAAAAAAGGACCAATGTCAATACATTCAACTCCATCTAGGACGGACACCATCGGGACTGTTACTATGTGTTTGTCTTAGAGAGATGAACGCTTTATAAGGAGACACCTAAAAGGGTAAAGAAAGGCAGGGACCAACTCTGATGTCCGTAACGTTTTAGGAAGGTGTCCGCCTTATAGAGATGTTCGTTAAATAAGACGAGTTTAAAATAATTTATTAATTATAATACATTCGAGACAACTATTCCTGTGCCAAGCAAAGATTTCCGAACTAAGACTGATTGAAGCCGAAGAATTGATGAAACCAAAGCCTGAAAAGTATCACTAAAAACTTGTTCTTCTAATTGGATCACTAACATTTGCCGTTTGCCGTAAAGGTGCGCCGTGCACTTAGAATTATTTTCCCAGATTTAGGCTATCAAGAGGCTCTAAAAGAGTGCAATATTGCCACCCTCCACCAACGGCGCCAATGGCTGACAGAGCGCCTATTCAATGAGATTAAGGACAACAGCCTCCACAAATTACATGGCCTTTTGCCGCCACGTAATCTTAGTACTGTAGCCTTAAGGAGAAAGCGCGCTTTTAACGTACCTCCTTGTAGAACAAATAGACTAATGAATAGTTTTATCATGCATAACGCGGCTATTTTCTAATGGTTTTATCGTAAATTCGCGGCTATTTTCTTAAATTTCATGACGTAGTATTTTGTTCCTTTGTTTTATTTATTTACTTTATTTATTTATAATAGTTAGTCTTAGTATTCAACGTATTGTACAGTCCGTAATCCAGCCCTTGGGCTGCAATGGATTTTTTAATAAAGCTATCTATCTATCTATCTATCTTATTAGAGTGACGTTTACTGCAAAGCAAACGTCAGATTCAAGTTGAGAATTTCTCAAAACAGAAAATAAGCAGGTAAAAACTGTCCAGAACGATTCTTATGGATAAAACTGGCGTGAAACTTCTTATTTTTGAGTAAAAGTAATAAAGAGTAAACGGCAATTAACAGGAAAACTTAGGTCACGTGGTACAAATTCACGTTTACCGTTTGGCGTAAACGTGATTCTTAATCTCTCTAATCTTTCATTACATTTATCTAGTTTCTGATTCAGGTCATCAAATTTTAAGGATTATCAAGCTAGCCTAAAAAAGACTCAAGAGAAGAGACCGCCTCCTTTTCCTAGGCACTGTGAGGAAGGCCTCTCTATATCGTTGCGCTTGTTTCTGATGCTGGTTAAATTGCTCAACTAAACGGCATGACTCGCGGCACAAACTAAAAATAACCGATAACCAGTATCAAGCGCTGACTAATGTCCCCAAACTGTGAAAATGGACAAAAAGGTAAATCCTCAAACTATTCGATTTCTTTGTTTTGAATTATTCTGGACAAAGCAAACTTACTTTTCAGTACCTTCTCACTGCTCAGGTAACACGTTATCGGGAAATTGTCCCAGGATGTTTCCTCGCGGGGAATAACGGGCCACTATGACGGTTTTAATGTAACCGTTCCCTAAATTCTTTGTTGCAAGGGCTGCACCAACCTGATGAGTACCCTTCCAAACAATCTATAGCAAAAAAACAAACAAACAAATCAAAAAACGCATTTGCAAAAAAAAAACAAAAAAAAAAAACATTTAACCCACGGACGGTACAAAGGGTACCCAGTTTTTTTAAAATAAGTTTAATCTTCTAACAGCGATACGCCTCCCTGGCTGAATAGATGAGTTTTCAGTAGGCGTTTAAAGGCGACGACATTTATGGCATTGCGGATAACCTCTGGTAGATCGTCCCATATTTTTTGTGCCACGGCGGTAAATGAACCAAGAGTAGCGAGAGTTGGGATGCTGAAGTATGAGTTTGTCATCAGAAGACTCTAGGTTGTATTTAGAGATTTAGTTTTTTGTTTTAACCGTTTTTTTCAGTATAGATGCAGGAGCAAGTCCATTGAAGGCTTTATAGGTGATAAGTGAGATTTTTAAACTGGATTCTGTCTTATTCGCCACTTTAGAAACGAGAAGAGAACTGGACCCGAAATGCTTGCCCCAATTGTTTCTGGGATCGCTACTGGTGACGAGCCGGTCAGCTATTGGCTGTTTTTCCCATTGAAAAAGTTGAGTCGCCCCAGGTTCCTTTTCGTTTCTAAAGTGGCGAATTAGCAGCCAGTGGAGGCTAAATTGGGAGGGAGTGATGTGATCAAAGCGTTGAGCATTCTGCACCCGTTGGCGTTTGTGCAGCAGCTTGTATCACTCCTACCTAATAAGTTAACACTTTTCGACAGTCAGTAATTATCATAAGACCCAATTTTTAACGTATTTCAAAAGAGGGATTATTAGCAACAACTGTAATTAATAAAGAAAGACCGCAAACCTGTGTGAAGTGACCAAACTGCGGGGTGACGTAAAACTCTGCTTCTGTAGTTGGTGGGTTGTTGTAAGGGTAGTCAGGCTCTTCGCTATACCTGCACAAAAAATCAAAGCAGTTTTGGGAATAGGTTAGGATCAAGAGAACATCTCTCTTAGTTAGGATGGTATATAGTATTCATAAATTGCATGTTTGTTATCTTCGCCCGCCATCTATAATTCCTGCTCAACTACACGGACCGAAATTTCTGCATGTAAACCCATCGAAAAGTTTTTCCGACTTCTAGGATCTTCTTGGCGCTGTGATCTTCCTTCCTCCATGCCTCGAAGGCGACGGTAACGAAAACGTCAAAGGAGCAACAAGATTTATTAGGCAAAACAACAAAACTTTACACGTTCAGCACATTACTTTGTTTATTACACATTGTACTCACTAATTATCTTTTCATTGGCTAAGATCCTACAGTTAAATTGGAAATCAGCGCACCCTACGGATTAGATAGTTATCTGCTAACAGATAACTGACTAATCTGTAGGTTGCGCGCGCAAAGCATGATTTTCAAGAGCAATGTCAAAGCGGTTCCGTGCAACGGTGCCGAGTTTGTCGTTATTTATTTCAAAACAATGTATAATGAAACAATTATTAGATCCGGTTTTTGTGATACTTTACATAAATGATGTTCATTTTTGCTCTGAAAAATTTAATTTCTTTCTTTTTGCGGATGATACTAATATCCTCAAGTTTACGCTGACAAAAACTTGAAATCCATTGAATTGACAGTAAATATTGAATTACAAGAATTATACGATTGGCTCACTACAAACAAGTTAACTGACATAAAATGGTAAAAAATCTAACTATGTCATTTTTCGGTCCTATCAACAAAAAAAATTAATCCCCTTCGAATTTCTATTTATGATAATGAAACCAATAAAAATGGAAATCTTGAACGAAAAGATTGCACAAAATATCTAGGAGTCTTAATAGATGAGAATATTTCCTGGAGAACACATATTGTCACAGTTGCCATTAAGATAAGTAAAACGATTGGTATGCTATCTAAGCTAAGACACTTTGTACCGTCTTCTGTTCTTGTAAACATTTACAATGCACTGATAACACTTTACTTAACCTATGATCTTATCTCTTGGTGAAACGCCTGTAAAACGTACCTCGACAATTAAAATACTTATCCTTCAAAAACGTGCACTACGCTTGATATATTCTGCAAACAGATAAGATCATGCTATTCCGGCCTTTTTTTGGTAAATTCCAAAGTACTGCCATTAAATTTTTTGTATTATCAATCCGTCTTAAACTTAATGCACGACATAGACGAAAGAAATACACCGATAAATATTTTAAACTTGTTTTCAAGGACATCAAATTCACAACACTATTCTACACGCTCATCAACTTCACAAAATTTCTACGTAAAAAATCTAGACTTGATATACAAAAGAATGCGTTCTCTCATGTTGGCGCAAAGATATGGAATGAGATGCTAAATAGCTTTAAAAACATATCAAGGACGACCTTCAGAAAAAAACTTAAAGGAGCTTTATCAAATATACTGAAAACCGAAGACAACTATATAGATAACGACAAAATCATGGCTAGACTTAAAAAAATATTAACTTACAACTCTTCTCTCTCTATATAACTAGTACCTATCATCATAATCGTTTCCTTTTTTTGTCCTTTAATAATTTTTGTTTTTTAAATGGTGTATAGGTCTGCGAGTATCATTTTAATTTATAAAGGTGGATTTCCACTGTCGCATAATTTTTATTTGTGTACGCACGTTGTTTTACGCGCGTAAATAAAATAGAGGCGATGTATGGCAGGTCAAGCGTAAACATATCGCTTAACTTTTACGTTTACGCGCGGCGTTTCATACATTGCCTCAACTGTTTTATTTATGCAAGTAAATTTCACTCGCGTACGCACGTAAAAATTGCGCGACAGTGAAAATCTACCCTACCTCCCAATAGCCACTCATTCCCAACTTGCCCAAAAATTGCTCCTCAAAGGGAAGGTTAATGGAAAGTCTTTGTTTTCATAGTTATTAATTCTGACACATATATAACTCATTACTTTTAACATAAAACGTTTCACAAACCTTGGCATTGAAAGTGCGTGTGTACGTCTGCGTGTAGCCTTAAGCCATTTCAGAGTTTTGCAACTGGGAAATGGCTTAAGGGTATGCGCAGACGTACGCCGGCAAAAATTTCCAACATTGTTACGTCCGTTTGCACGGGGCTTATGAGTCAACAGCAAAATAGTCTGACTTGTGTAGATCACCTACCAGGATTCCACGGCGTCAACACATGTGTAAGCTTTTGTGGCTGTCCCTCCGAACAAATTTTCCCCATCAGTAGTGTTAGCGTGTTTAAACGTTCCTTCTTCTATCAGTGTTTCAGCCCACTCCTTAGCCTCCTGAGCAAGTGTTGAGCTCCAGGTCAAAGGCTGTGCTCCATGAAGAGCACGCTTAGCATTATGAGCTCCCAGACAGTCGCCTGCGTCCACTTTTTGTTCAATAAATACAAAGACAAATTAAAACACTTGCTTGGAACCAAACAATTGTTAAAAGCCGTGAGAACAAATACAAAACGTAAACACTTGCATATATAACATTAAAGAAAGTGTGAGAGACAAAATGTTTTCCACAATTGCTAGATCTACTCTGCTCTCAAATAGGCCATTTGCACTAAGAGGTCATGTGACATCGTTTTTTTATGAAAATGAAAGTTATATGAGTTTGCTCTCGAAAAACGATTAGTGGGTCATATCTTAACAAAGTAATAGTGATTTGGTTTTCAAACCCGCGCCATTTTCTTAAAATAAGTAAGTTCGTAAATGGTCACGTGACCAAAATGTGAATTTTTGAAATTATGAATTACCTCTTTCTGAACTCTGACAAATTTTGCACTTAAACTTCAAGGAAAATGTTGAAAAGATGATGTGGTAACGTTAACAGCACATCTGAGGGTAACTATCAAACGTTTAACAAGATGTAAGCAGAGACCGGAGTAGTTTTGGCCGCCATGTTGGAGGGCAAGAGTATGCCCTCCAACGTGCATGGTGGCCAGTACAAATCATACTACTTTGTTGAAAAATCAAAGTGCCATAAAATATCTCCCTTAAATGCGTTTCCGCTCAAATTTTGGGTGTAAGATAATTTTTATGTGCTCTGTCAATTTTTGGCATCAGCAAGATTCCAACTCATTGTTTAAAGGAGGCATTGGTCACGTGACTTCTTAGTGCAAGTGGCCTATTTGTCAAGAATCGACGACGCAGTTGCCCCTTTTGTAAACGATCGCTGCCATTTGCAAATGGCAACGACTGTTTACGAAAGAGAAATAGGTATCGGCGACTTTCACGTTTCCCATAATGCAATAGAACGTTTTCACATGACGTCACGTTGGCCATTGTGGTGTTCCTAAACAATGAAACAGCGGCCATGTTGCTCCTACAAGCTAGTCCTGTGGGAGTATGTATGCAACTTCATTAGAAGAAAAGAGAGAGCTTACATTAGAAAGAGTTCAACTCCCACAGGACTGGCTTGGGACACCAACATGGCCACCGTTTCATTGTTTAGGAAAACCAAAATGGCCTCCTTGACGTCATGTGAAAACGTTCTATTGCATTAAAGTCGCGAATTGACCTCTTTAGCTTGTATGATTTGTTTTGCGAATGAAGGTTTCAGGAGATTACCCCTTTGTCTTTCCATAAATCATGGGAACAAATGCACGGGAATAAGACGGAATATGAATGAAGTAGTTCCGTAGGTTATTATCACAAGACCTACACTGGGAAAACAAACAAAATTCACGATACGTGGCTTCTTAGAGGGAAAACAAGTGACAAAATCTATCCTAAGGTGGCTCGATAGGGTTTTTCAGGGTCAATACCTCCCAAGTTTCAGCATAAACTACGTCGCCATTAACGAAGGTTTGAAAAAATTATCACCACAGCTGTATTAGATGCAGATGAAAGTTCCTTTCGATCAAGGTTACAATGACATCGGAGTTGCCATGACGCCATGACGCCATTACCTATTTTACTTGCTGCAATTCTCGGCACAGTGAGAACTCTTCTTCAAAAACATTTACCAGAGCTTTCTCCTCCAATACCAACCTCGATGATCGTTTGAGCCAAATCTACAAGACTGTTATAGCGATATTTTGGGATGAAGTTTTCATGGTTAGAAATACGCTAAAAATTTGACAATCTTGATGTTCGGCCGTTATCTCTGGAAAACGAAACGCTTTTGAAATGCAATTTTACCTCGTAGTAGTTTTAATCTCTGATTAAAACGTGTGTGAAGGATCATGGAGATAGCTTTAGCCGACTGCTACAAAAAGAAGAATTTGATTAGTATGTATCGAGGCGCTCTTGTTAGCGGTTTTGTAAACATGTTGGTCTACTTAAACACTTAAGGGAATAATTTTGAAACCGCTTGATAGATTTTTATAAAATTTGGGATTTTCGAGATTAACTGTCGTTTTATATGACCTTTGAGTTTCAAGAATATTGATATCTTGTAATGCAGTAAAATAAGGACTACAATTCGCTAATTTTTGGTCGGAATTTATATTTTCGTGGACAACAATAGCTAACATTTCTGCATATTTCAAATGCATTGTTAGTTACTGCAGTTTTTCACGTGAAAAGGAAACTTGAATACCCTGAATAAAGAGAGGCTCTCACTTGTTAGCACGTAATTTCCGACAAAAAAAATTAACGAATTGTAGCCCTTATTTCAATGCCTTACAACATATCAATAATCTTGAAACTCAAAGGTCATATAAAACGATGACGAACATCAAGGTGGGTAGCAGAGGGAAAAGCCCAAGTGAACGGTTTTAAAAGCAGAGTTCCCAGTGCCAAAAAAATATAGCTGCAAGCAAAATAAGTAATGGCGTCATTTCGTTACTATGACAACTCCGATGTCATTGTAACCATGATCATAACAAATTTTTATCTTCATCTAATACACCTGTGGTGGTAATTTTTCCAAATTTTTGTTATTAGCGTCGTAGCGTATGCTCAAACTTGGGACGTATTGACCCTGAAAAAACCCTATCGAGCCACCTTAAGAAGATCTTGTCACTATCTAGCCCCCTGCGAAACCACGTATCGTGAATAAGGTCTATTAGATCACTCCCCGCTCGCGCTCGGCACTTGCTTCAAGCTCGTCCTTAGGAGTTCGCGCACCCTGCTCAGTTACACTAAAACATTAAAAAATGTTTTTAGACGTCTTTTTTTTTTATAAATTTAACACTAATTAACGGTCTTAGTAATCAATCAACTTGTGGGCAAGTCTAATACCGTCTTTGCTCTTAAATTTATGAAATACCTGTTGGACAAACCTACGTCATAATTTCCTCCAGTTGATTGTCTTTTAGGGGGAAGGGGTTGGAAGGATATAAAGAGAGTAAAAAAGTAAAGTCTCCCAAAATAGTAGGTAATGTAGGAGCTTCTCGTAAAATGTTTCCTCATTGGTCGCAGAAAACAATAACACATGGTTTATCCTTATTTCCTACTGTTTCACGGTAAGGGTATCGAACCAATTGGCTTTTAGGGTTAGGGGAGCTGCTACATGACACTGAATAGTCGGCAGTCTGGAGTTCAAAATTCAGTTTCAAAAAAATGGTACTCCAAAGTAATCATGTCAACAAAATCATTCATGATTTTTTTTGATAATCTTTGACTTCCACTTAATGTATTGGCTAGTGCATGGCTATCATGAACTTTCAAGAGAGGCTGCTAAATTAAACCAAGACAATGCTCCTGAGTGAACTTACCTTCCGGTGGTTGAGTTGGTGGCACTATAAAAAAAAATGAAATAAAGTTATTTTTAATAAAACAGTTAAATTTGTAACTGTCTAAAATTCGAGCGATGTAAACATGAGCCTCATGTCTCAAAGTCCACTAAGAGGGAGTTAGTTTTAAGAAAAACGGACGGCATTGAGACAACGCAATTGGTTTGAAACAATCAATTTAACCTTTGACGAATAAACCTGGAAGCATTCGTACTTGTTGATTAAAGGACTCAAGGTACAAGTATTCGAAAGGTTTATGGTTCCTTCAGACTTACTTTCGCAGTTGACGCAAGATGCATGGCAGTTACTTTGTACATAAGTATAGTAACGCGACGTTTCTTCACAATAGCCTTGCGCCTTGAAGTATGCACATCCCTCAATCTTGTCATACTGATCTGTAGTGCAGAGAGCTGTCAATAAATCAGTTAGATAGAGTTCTTCAGTAAGTATACTACGGTACGGGAAAAGTTATTTGTCTAAATCAATTGTCATTTTTATGCTTATTTTTATTGGCCTGACTTTGCCTCATTTATTTGCCTCAGTTATTTGTTCAGCCTTCGTGGGAGGTTTGAGTTAGCGGGAGTCGACTGTAGAACACATGTGCACATGTAGGCGAGGCTCAGTCTCCTGTCGTGGGTGTCTTGGTGCGCCCGCGATTCTCCCCTCATCAAGGGTGAGAGAAAATAATGCGGAAAAATGAAAAAAGATATTCATTACTGAAACGACAAGGTTCGATATCGCTTCACCATTTTAATTCCAGAGCTCTCCTCTAGTTCTCACATGAGCAAGGACAGAACGACGTGGGAGTCGTTGTATTTTAACAGGAAAACCAATACCATAAATCGATACCACTGCCGTCGTGATAAATGAGTTAACACTTTGCTGACTTTGCTGGCTCGAGGTTTGTACCTTGAGCGTGTACAAACAAATTTGAGCAACACAACTCATGGGGTGTTAATAACTTTTTCGACAAGTACCCATCACCTTGAGGATTACCTTTTCGCTAGAAATGTTACCTACCACGTTTTTCAGCTCTATAGCCCTCCAACGGAAAATATGACCTTGAAAGATGACGGCCGGGGGCACAATCAGACACGGCAGAAAAGGCCATGAAGACAAGGAGAATGGCGAAGCTTCGCATTAACATTTTGTTTTCCTCGAGCAACTGTAGAGAGCAAAAATAATAACACTAACGTAAGCAATAATTCCTATCTTTACTGTTCGTAATTTTATGGTGCAAAGGCTAGTGAGGCCAAAACAAATGACAGAAACAAATAAATGAAATAAACATAACAAGTATTGGCCTGGGACCAGGCTCCTTGTTGGAGAAAAAAGGCGATTAACGGGCCTTGCAAAGCGAGCCAAGCAAGGGACTGGGGAGGGGAAGTGGCGGAAGGGCGCCGATCCTTTCTCTCCTCGATTCCTTCCTATTTTCGCTTCTTTCTTCTCACTCGCCTTGAAAAAGATTAAGAAAGCAACAAACTAGAGGCAACCAGTCTTCTATAAATCTTATTATGACTCGGGGATATGTATTATTAAAGATCTCTTGTTCAATCTCGACAATATAGAATCCTTTAATGCAATTAATAACATAGTTGAGAAAGCTAATTTTCTTACATGGACAGGTCTCAGCCACGCAATTCCCTCTATTCTGAAAACAATAGAGTACACTACCTTCACAGAAAATACTTATTTTACAAAGGGGAATGAGATTTTTGACATAGCGGAAAAGAAAACGAAAGACTACTACTCTTTAATAATATCAAGTAAAGCACAATTACCTAGTAATGCAAAGAATTTAAAACATGATTTTGGCTTATCTGACGAAGACTTAAAAATTGCTTACAACCTTCCCTACCTGACAGCACAGGAGCCTTACGTCAAATCCTTTCAACATAAAGTTTTAAAATCAATACTTTACACTAATGCAAAACTTTTTAAAATTGGATATCTCCAGCATGACAAATGTACTTTTTGCAAGACTGAACAGGAAACATTGTAACTTTCTCTTTTACTGTCAGCACTCAAATATATTGTGGAAAAATGTTAAACAGTATTATTTAACAATAACAAACGAATTTCACGGGTTGTGTTTACGAGAGGTTATAATTGGAATAACGATGTCAAAGTGCCCCTTGTTAAATTATATGATATTAATTGGTAAATTGTATTTATGGGATTGCAGAAAGAAACAGGTACTTCCCAACATCGAAGGTTTCAAATTTAAAGTAAGAATTAAATACCAAGTTGAAAAATATATTTCCACCAAGAATAATAAATTAGAATCCTCTTATGAAAAATGGCCAAAAGACATTTCCCCCCTTTAATTAAGTTCGTGTGTATGTAATTAAAATTGTAATCTTTTATCAGACACTTTTTTTTTCTGTATTGTTTTTTGTTTTTTTTGTATGTGTGTTTGTGTTTTTGTTTTATTTCAGAGTGTACTGTGAATAAGTGTTGATTTCTCTTTTATCTACATAATTAAGTATTAATTAATTCTTTGCTCAATGAGTGTAGCTCCTGCAATTTTCTTTAGAAATTTCTGATCCTCCTGTCATTTCATAGCTATATCAGTTTTTAAAACCTCGCCGATCTTTTTTTAAAAACATTATAAACGAAATTATTACCAAAAAGACTAATATAACGACTACCAACTTCGCATTCACTAGTACTTATGTTGGAAACTTCAAGTACACGCAAATGTCGAAGAACAATTCAAAATTAAACAACTACAAGCAAATCATATGTCGAGATGATATGACATCATATAAATATCTTTTCATTGTTAGTAACTTAGCTATACTTCGGAATCCCACACTTTTATGGACCCAAATATTCAAGGAATTGAGAAAGAGTCATTCACGAGAACTATATAGATGTACTGTAAAAATGAGTGACTACATGTATTACAAACGTGTTCTCAGATATATATATATATATAAGTTCATAATTAACGGCAATTTTCAATTTAGAGATGTTTAGATTAGTGGTGTAATGTTCTATCTTATTTATATACATATGTACATAAAACAGTACATGTCAGCATTTTTGACGACTCGACACATTCATGACCAGGCCCCGGTTGTTTTAAACGCGCTTTATCACTGGATAAATCACTATCCAGTGGATAAGTATTAGGGAAAGTAATTGTGCTGTCCACTGTACAGAGACTTATCAAGTGGATAGCGTTTTCCACCCAGCCTAGTCCTAGCACACAAGGACACTTCGTAAGTCCCTAAATCTGTCCATATCAACAGGATTTAACTGTGTTTTAGATGCTAGCGATTGATTATATACTGACCTGTAATTGAAACACTCGCCAAATGTCAAGCGCCTCTCAAGCAACTCCCTCTGTTTCGACAAACCCAGCAAAATGCCGTTAAAATGAACCCAAAACGCCCGATGCATATATTGGCTCTACAGCGAAGTATACAGCTTAACAATATCAGCAATATCAATATCAAAATCTATCACGACCTAGCCAGCTGACGGCGGACGGTGACTTAAGCAAAGACGTTTTCAGCCGACTTCAGACGACTTCAGCCGAAAGGGAACATTCTGCATTCGCGGATAATGGTTGAACTCATTTTTCGGGTAAGTTGTGCATATAAGAGTAACGACACTTAGCAATACGCGTCAAGGCATATTAAAACGGAAGAGGTGCGTCGCACAAAAACGCTTTTACTTGGAATGTTTTCGGCGACTACATGATGTTAAGCGTCTCGGGCGTATCTGTTTAAGAGAGGCCGCTATGTGATGCTACTTGCCATCTCATTAAAAAAAAAAGCTTCAACATGTCTTTTTTCAATTGAATTCCAAAAGTAATGATCTAGTTTTGTTATTTAAGCTTATATGAAGGTAGTTTTCTGTCGTCTGTTGCTACAGATGGCAAGGATGGAAATGGATTGAAACTTGAAAAAATCGGCTATGGATCGGCTGTGGATCGCGTGTCATTTCGGCGGGCCAATATGGGATTGATGCAGATGATGCATACTTCTAGTTTTCAGTTTAAGTCGGATTGAGTTTAGTATAGGGAATTCAGGAATGAAAGATCTTTGCACAGATACATCATTTTCTTGGTAATTCTGACCAAATAAATCCTGCCAGATTTACACAAATATCCTTCTAACATTTTGGGGAGAAATCCACTGCCAGTTTTGCCATTCACCTACTAAATTTCCTCCTTTCCTGGAAAGTTAGCCAGCCTAATTTCCTACCTCTACAGGAGCATTTTGTGTATGGTTAAAGGAACTAAAAGTCACTGATAATGACTTTAGCATACTGAGAATTGACCTAACAAAAACAGTATTTTCAGCCACACACAAAGACCCCAAGCCACCCCAAGTCCCTTAACCAAGCAAAACTGTGTCTTACAAACCCTAATCCAGAGATTTCAGAGCTGTTTCATTTAGCTTTTAGCTGAATGGTGGAGTTTTAACCTTTTTACCGATGGTCGCACGTCTTCTTGCCTTTGTACATTAAAATATATACTAAACTCGGGGATACATATGCGCCACATGTATAACTGTGCTTTTAAATCCAGATATTGTTTTAAGTGCTTCCTATGAAAATGAGTGACTGTATCCTCTGTATGTCCATTTAGATTCTCATCTTTAGAGATCCTGGGGCTAAATGTCTTAGTTTATCTTTGGTCTAATCATGGCGATCTCGTTACGTTTTTTTGTTGTATTTTATATTTATTTTTATACAATTGTACTGATATTTTTGGCCTGAACTGCACACGACCCCTCAAGCTACCTACAAGTAGCTTTAATATACATCGTGCTTAAATATAGGTTTTGATTTAATTTGATTTGAAACAAAAGGCAATGAATCTCAAAAATTAATATCTATCTGCTTAGCTTTGATGCTGAAAGAATTCCTTTACATAGAATAAAATATTTCGGTGTGTAGAACGTACTTAAAGCTTCTAGATACCACTATGAATTGATGTTTCTTTTTAAAGTTAATTTTTAAGGTCATACTTTGAGGTCTGAATTAAATGAAATAATTGCTGTTAGCCCTTTCAGAGGTCAAGAATAAGTGCCGTTCAAAAACTGACGGGCAACTTTCTAATTTCCATGCTAAACCAACTATAAGGATTGAAATACTCATTACTAACATGAACTCAAATCACGAATATCTTTCAAGTGATACATACAGAGGGTCGACCAACGGGCTTTGGTAATTCAAAACACGGTTTTCCTTTCCCTAATGTCAAATCTGCTAATTAATTTATAAAGTCTTTCTCCTTAAAATGGAAACCTTTATGGTTATTTGTTTTTAAACTTGGATAATTTTGCAAATTGATTAAAATTGCGATAATAATAATTGCTGTCTTTTGCTTTTAATAGACCGCCGCTAAAAGTATATACTACTGCAAAGCAAAGCTGCAATACCTGCCCACGATTGCTTCATTGATAACTCGATGAACCATGCGACTCACCGGCACACATCATGATATTATGTCCTCTCTTCCGCAAACCTCATTCACGGCTTCCTGACATTCACTAACTCTTTTGTACAAAAGACTCGCTGATGATAGTTATATTAAGTCGCCTTAAGTAGCATTTCCTGTTTTCGGTGGTATTCAGTTATTCTCGATCAGCCTGGGTGGCGTGAGCACTAAAATGCAACTTTTCTGGCGCTGCCTCGTACCCAGACGTCTCTCTTTTGATGAAAATGTGCGCGCAAAGGCAGGCGGGAAGGTACCCTTCCACGGTCCTTTGCGGTTCATCACCAGTCACTCGTTTCGCGCTCGCCTGTGCCATGCGAAAAACGAACCGCCTGAGGAGGAGGCTGATACTGGCAGATGATTTCTACACATACGACTTAATTTCTGCTCTAATGTCTTTCGTGTCAATATCGTGTCCTTCGTACGCACAATTCTCTTGCAAATATCCCTGCTGCCGCTCCCTCCTGTCCTTTAGGTGCCAAATTTGTGCCTTGATTTAAGGTGAGGTTAAATTTAATACACGCCCGATTCTCTATTTCCCTTTCCAGAAGCATATATGCTTCTGCCCTTTCCCAATATACTGTCTTGCCTTTGCCACAGACGAATATATGGTTTCAAATTGTCAGTCCTCTTAACCTGATTAATGTCAAAGTCTT